TGTCTGCAATGTCGGCACTTTGTCGGAATTTGTCGGGAAACTTTCTTCTGTCATTTAGGCCATATGATTTAAGCGCTAAGCGGTCTTATATCTTTCAAAATGACATTATCGGGGGTGTTCCTGGTATTCTTTCTTGCTTCATCTGTCAGATTGGTCCGTATGGTACCGGTTACCGGTTACCGGTTGAGTAAAGCAATTTGATAGATACCGCGGCTGTACCGGTTCCAATGTGACCTTCCGGTTAAACAGCCGTGGCCACCATCGCACGACCATCGACCATCACACCATAATGTGAAGTTGTACAGCAGTTCTGCCAGATACTGCACAAGCCGTGGTGCTTTACATCTTCCCAGCTTCCCAGTGTGACATGCATGACCTTCCAATATTAATGTGCTGCGGCCACCTTTCCAGAACCATTGTGATTAATTTTTGAAGTTCCGCCAGATACTCCCGAAGTTGCCTTGAATAGAAACCAGGAACACATGAACCTTCGGATGATTCGATTCTCGTAGCAAGAAACCGCAATGGGCTGGACACTCCAATCAAGCCCTCGCAGTTAAACCTTTTTCTGCGTTGTGGATTGAATGCACATATATATTATGATACCGGTACAATCGCAAGAGTTTTACTACAGTTTCAGTAGACAGTTGGCAAGTACCATTGGAGCACCGGGGGACGGGTGTCTCTTGAAGATGTAAGTGGAACCTAAGAAAGCAGAGTCGAAGGATGATCCCAAAATTCACCCAAAGAGAGAGGAGCTACGAACCGGTAGAGTGGGAAAAAAGTGTCTGGAAAGTCTCTCCTTCTCATTTCTGTCGGTGAGCGGTGAGGCAATTTCCCATTACCTCTCTTTACTCAGTAGCAGTGTACTGTACCAGTACTAGCTAGTTCGGTGGTGGCCCATGAATTCGCAGCAGAAGCACACAGATTCGATTCATTTATTTGACCACCAGTCGAATCGAATCTTGGGCTCAGATTCGAGAGACAGTCATTCCGTTCTCCCCCCCTCCTCCCATTTCTCCTCTGTTGTTTCAAACAAAATCATTCAGGATGGGTATCAACGAGAATAGTCTACCGCTACTCGACGATGATGAGCTCTCTGTCTCGAGTAAGCTGTCCTCGGACAACGGATCTAGCACCTTTGACCCCACGGATAGTGATGAACGCAACGCAGACTTTAATGAGGTGAAAAACCTCACTCGGAAAGAGAACGAGGCAGTGGAAATGTGGAGGGAGCTTGTGACTGGAATGCTGGTCATCACCGCTTGTTTGGTCACATGTGGATCTTTCATCTACCTGTCCATCGATGAGACAAGTAGCTTCAAGACATCGGTACGTTGGCGGCTGTGTTCCCGCGGTATGCATCGACTCTACAGTAAGCGCCAAGATGCAAAGCTGATCTTTGTTGCTGTTCTTCACTTTTAACTCTTACTCATAGTTCAACCAAGATGTCGTTACAATCGACGACGCAGCTGGAGACGCGCTCGAGCGAACCATTTCCGGTTTCAAGTCCATGGGGGATAAGCTCACCACACATGCCCAGAGCAGTGGCTCTGCATGGCCACTGGTCACCATGCCCTTCTTTGATATCCACGGCGATGATACTCGAGTCATCACGCACGTGACCTACTTTTCCGTTTGCCCAATCGTCATGGAACCAGAGAAGAGCGCTTGGGAAGAATACGCGCTCAATAACCAATGGTGGCTTGTCGGAAACCAGACGCATGCCCACACGGAACAAGAAATGCAAAACCTATCGGCTGCCGTAGCAGCTGAGAACAGTATCCCCGAGTACATTTACAGGGTCGAGGACCGCAAGCCCACTGCGACAAATGTGGGACCGGGCCCTTACACTCCCCGGTGGCAAATGTCACCCACGCCGAATGATCCCGTTCCAGTCAACTTTGATGTAGTTTCTTCCAAGGGCTCCATGGAGTTCTTTGAGTTCATGATTGCCAACGAGAAACCCGTCCTTTCCGGCGTTATCACGGAGGATTTCACCAACACCGCAATGCTGCATCGGGAAGCGGACATTATTGACATGGCACCCAAAAGTTTCATGTTCTACCCCATTTTCGAATCGTTCGACCAAGATGCGGCTGTGGTGGGCATGTTTGAAATCTATCTAGACTGGCAGCTCTTCTTGGCGGATCTCCTCCCAGAAGGGGATACGGGGCTCTTCTATGTCCTGAACTGTTCCTGCTCGGGGATGTTCACGTACGAGCTCAACGGTGGCAAAGTGCACTATGTTGGGAAGGGAAACCTGCACGATATCTTCTACACGCATTTGGGACAAGAAGTTCAGGTGACAACCCGATGGGATTCACACAATGTCACGACTCCCTGCTCATTCTCCCTGCTGGTCTATCCCAGTAGCGAAATGAGGGGGTCATTCAGCTCCAGCATGCCAGAAGTCTTCACTGTGATCATTGCAGTGGTGTTCTTTGTGATGGCTTTTGTCTTTTTTTCCTATGACAAGTACGTCCAAAAACGCCAGGAAAAGGTGTTTAGGCAGGCTGTGAAAACAAACCGCATCGTGTCGAGCTTCTTCCCAAGGAGTATCCGTGACAGGCTCTTCAACCAAGATGGTGGCGAAGGGGGCGAAAACAGCAGCAGGCGCCGTCGATCTTCTACATGGGCTGGAAGCTTGCGTCTCAAGTCTTATTTGAACGATGGCGACGATGGAACAAGTGTCGCGGCGGAGGATGATAAACCGATCGCCGATCTCTTCCCAAACTGCACGGTTCTGTTTGCTGACATTGTGGGTAAGCTACTGGAGTTCTTGAGAGCATCGATCCAAAAGCGAGTCGAAGCTGACCATTTCTCTGCCTTTGGATGCTGTCTTAGGTTTTACTGCTTGGAGTTCCATGCGGGAGCCAACCCAGGTTTTACTTCTGCTGGAAACCATCTATCGGGCTTTCGACGAGATTGCCAAGCGACGAAAGGTGTTCAAAGGTAAACTGCTTGCTCCTTTAACTGTTTTTCAATGGTTACCAATCACATGTATTTGTCTCACGTCTGTTTTGCAACACAGTGGAGACGATTGGGGATTGCTATGTTGCTGTGACGGGATTGCCAGGTGAGCTTGGTGAACTTTGTTTTGACTTTGATCATGTGGTTTTCACCTTGTGAAAGATTCCTTACACTACTCTCTTGTTACTGTGACACTTATAGAACCCCACAAACTCCATGCTCTGGTCATGGCCAAATTTGCGAGGGAAATCATGTACAAACTTCATGAGGTCACAAGAAGTCTTGAAGTTTCATTGGGCCCAGACACTGGTAGGTTCGATGGGTGACTGCTTCAATCAAAAGGTGCCAGCTTTGTTCTCTCATATAAGTTTTCCATTCATTCTGGTATGGCTGCAGGGGACCTTTCCATGCGAGTTGGACTGCACAGTGGACCTGTCACTGCTGGAGTTCTGCGTGCTGATCGCTTGAGATTCCAATTGTTTGGTGACACTGTCAACACAGCTTCCAGAATTGAATCCACTGGTGTCCGCGGTTGTATTCAATTGTCCAAAGAGACAGCGGAACTGATATGCAACTCAGGGAGGGCCCATTGGGTTAGAGAGAGAGAAGACAAGGTTGAAGCCAAAGGAAAAGGTCAGCTGACGACCTTCTGGTTGTCCCTTGGCGCAGCATCGTCTATTGGGGACTCGGGAGAGAATTTCGCAGAGGAAACTGGTCAAGGGTTGTCCTACTATGATATTCCGAGGAATCAAAAGGAGAGTGATCTGCCGAGGAAAACCCGTCGCCTCGTTGAATGGAATGTGGATATCCTACACCGAGTTCTACGACAAATTGCAGCGACCCGAAAGGTCAAGGATAGACAGGTGAAAAGGACCAAAACATTGGACAAGAATGCCACCGAAAAGGCAAAGCCAACGATGGTGCTGGAAGAGCTTGCTGAGGTCATCCAGTTGCCACGATTCTCTTCCAAGGTTGCTCAAGTTGTTGCCAACGCTGAAGAAGAACCAGTTCCTCCCGTCGTTGTGAATCAGCTCCACAACTTTGTTGCAGAACTCGCCGCCATGTACCATGACAACCCTTTCCACAATTTTGAGGTTTGTATTCATTGCTTGCTGGGTGCAAACTCAACTCAAGTGTTCTCGGCTACTTGACTCATTCCTCCTCCTGCATCGTTATCTTGCAGCATGCATCCCATGTTACAATGTCTGTCGTGAAGCTGTTGTCTCGAATTGTGGCTCCAACTGATCTGGACGTCGTGGATGACGAAAACGTCAATGAGAAGGCATTCATGAAATCTGTTGCTTCCAAGTTGCACGAGTAAGTCACTTGCTTCCAATGGGTAATTGATGGCAAGTGATCTCTACTAACGTGTGTTGTGTTTTACTTGTACCCTCCTGTGTGCTAGCAACACGTACGGGTAAGTACAAAACCGAGGGTTACATTGCTCATGTTCCATTCTGCCACCTGAAAGTCTCACCATTTGCATGAAAACAAACAGTATCACCTCGGATCCACTTACCCAGTTTGCAGTTGTCCTATCAGCTTTGATCCATGATGTTGACCACTTGGGTGTACCCAACACTCAGCTTGTGACGGAAGAGACGGCCACAGCAATCCGCTACAAGGGCAAGAGCGTAGCCGAGCAGAACTCTGTGGATGAGTCTTGGAATCTGTTGATGATGCCAGACTATTCAGAGTTGAGAAAAGCAATTGCTGCAACTCAAACTGACTGGGAACGCTTCCGACAGCTGGTCGTCAATTCTGTGCTTGCCACTGACATTGCAGACAAGGAGCAAAAACAGTTTCGAAACGCCCGTTGGGACAAAGCCTTCAAAGACGACTTTTACGAGGAAGATATGGATGTAGACAGGAACCGCAAAGCAACGATTGTGGTAAGTCAATGTCATGGACGACGCAGATGAATTACATTGGTTGGAATTGCAATACTTGCCTCACACACGCTTCCTCTGCTTGTAGATTGAGCATTTGATCCAGGCATCCGATGTTTCCCACACAGTAAGTCAACAATAATGCTGACGTCGTGGGGTCTGTTTTAGGTTTCTTTTGGGCTCACGATATACACTTCTTTCCCCGCTACAGATGCAACATTGGCACATCTATAGGTGAGAATTATACATTGCTGGCAGCCTTACTGGTATCTCTTGCCGTATCTCATGCTCATGCTCATCTCGCTCTTGCTCTTTTTGTTCGTTCTCCTTAGAAAATGGAATGAACGCTTGTTTCGAGAATTGTACAAGGCCTACAAGGAAGGCCGTGCAGTGAGTGATCCAACAGACTTTTGGTACAAGGGTGAAATAGGCTTCTTTGACTTCTACATTATCCCCCTGACGAAGAAGCTGAAGGAGTGTGGTGTGTTTGGTGTGAGCAGTGATGAGTACCTAAACTATGCCCAGCAGAACCTGGCCGAATGGAAGGCCAAGGGAGAGCAAGTAGTTGCAGAGATGAGCACGAAAGTCAGAGAAGAGTATGGGGAAGTGGATTGCTCCGAGTTCGTAGATGAAGCGATTGATGAACCGGAGCCAGGGCCCGAAGCCAACGTTGAACAGGGGGTGGATGACTTGGATGTTAGTGCCTAACAAGGTGTTTACTACATGTTTTGCAACATTTTCTGGTTCTGTAGAGTCGGTTTGGTGTTCTTCAAATGGTGTGCATGTAGTGAGGAATGTGAGGATTGCAAGTGGCTTTTAAAAGGGCGAGCAGGTCGTGGTTGAGATGATTGAAATCTCCAAGGCAGAATCTGCCTACATAGATCACCTCAAACGGATGAGCTTGTCCGGTTGTGGCGGCGATGGTCGCTGAAGAGGTTGACCATTGCACTTTTTATACTTTTGGTTTGTTGTTGGATGAAAAAGTTGCTACTTGATGATCATGCCTTTAGTCCTTTCAGCAGTAGTGGCATGCTGGGATACTGCAACTTCTTGGTGAACTTTGGTAAAGATTCTTGGCTTTAGATGTGTATCATCAAGAGTATTGCTTTCCCGCTTTTTAACCCTTCACTCAGCAACCCATGGGCAACAGACAACCAAACCCTTTCCAAAGCACGAAGAGCGAGCGTGTGGGAGTTGCAATTTAAGTCAGCGGAGCTGCGATACCTCGGCAGAAAGACAGATAGAAGAATGATGACATGTTTGAGATTGCACCCTTCTTTCAAAGTAGCCCTGGCGACAAACACCCGACTTCGTCGTGTGGTTGCCGCCCGGTATCATTCCTTCAATATAACCTTCTTTTTTATTTAAGGTAGCCCTGGCACAACACCCGACTTCGTCGTGTGTTGCCGCCCGCTACCATATTTTACAGCTGTCACTCCCGTATGTACCTGTAACTTTTATAGCTTCTGTGGCTTATTGTGTTGAGTGCACTAACCTTGATAATCATGATTTATTCCTACCCCTAAGTTTGCAGAGTTGGCTTGTGCCTATCTCTATCCCTATATTTTGGCTTCACCGGAACAGGAACAGGAAACAGGAAACAGGAAATTCGGTTTTTTTCAGCGTTCGTCTCTTGATTCCTTATTAGTTCCAGCTCGCTACACTCCGGTACAAGTACCTCATGTTGGATCCTTATGACGAATACATGCACACGTATAGTTACATCGGCGACAGTGGCAACAGTACCGAACACACTCAGGTTCGGCTTAGCTCGCTACACTCCGGTACAAGTACCTCGTATTGGATCCTTATGACGAATACATGCACAAAACCGAATTGTCAATCCAGCATTGTAGCTGGCTGCCGTATAGTTACATCGGCGACAGTGGCAACAGTACGAACACACTCAGGTTCGGCTTTGCTCGCTACACTCCGGTACAAGTACCTCGTGTTGGATCCTTATGATGAATGCATGCACAACCGAATATTGTCAATCCAGCCATTGTAGCCAGCTGCCGTATAGTTACAATCGGTGACAGTGCAACAGTACCGAACACACTCAGGTTCGGCTTTGCTCACTACACTCCGTACAAGTACCTCGTATTGGATCCGTATGACGAACACATGCACAACCGAAGATTGTCAATCCTGTTGATCTATAAGGTGTTTATCTAATGAAAGGAGTGGTCTATTGGTCGGTAATCGATGATCTATTATCTTACGAATTATATCTATCTTTATCGTATGAAAGAAGCAAGTCGTTCGCCCGAGGACTTGTGCATACAGGAAAGTGGGTACGACACAGGAATCACCACCAAATCACTAGGAAATAACACTGGAGGGGTGAATCCTGTAGGAGGTTCCACTCTCTTGTGTGTTGTCGCGTAGTAGCCTCCTCCTCTTGTTGCCATTCAATGATTGACGACGATCCGTCCATACTGTTGGTAGGGCTGGAGTTAACAGACTCCTCCGTAGTAGTAGCCTCTCCTCTTCTTGTTCTCCAGAGCGATCGTTCGTTCGTTCGACCTCGACAATGGGATTTCCTCGGCCGTCGACAGTGCAGCAGAGAAAACAACAAATAGATATGAGTTTTGTTTTTTGTGCTCAACTGCAGACAACCGGAGATTTACTCTTGCTTTTCAAATTCCACAACTTGGCTGTCATGGGCCGAGAACTGACTTGCCATCCCATGGTCCATAGGATTCAATGTGGGATGGCTTTCGAATCTACACCGGAGAAGGCCGCTTGAGTGAGGCTTGATAGAAGAGGTGCAACGATGCCCATCGAATAATTAAAGACAACTCAACCTGTTGACGGCCGAGCATGGAATTCTCTCCTGAATAACATATGAATCCAATGAGGAGAGAATCAGCGCTGTACCTTCAATTACACTGTTTGATAATAGGCTTACCTCATTGCGATGATTCTTCCGTAAATCCTTAACCTTAGTAAATTCAACGGTTCCTTTATCCACGAATCGATCTATTTTTATCGAACGAGAACCTGTTACTTATGGATACACATGACCGTTGATTCTGCAACTGAAGTGCGGCTACTCTATTTTACACAGTAAACGCCGGCAATCGATTTCAGAGTGCAACTGAGGGGTAACAAAAGGGCGTCGTCTCATGAGACGTAATACCAAATAAGTCAGCGGGAGCTGCGATACCTTGGCAGAAAGGCAGATAGAAAAATGATGATATGTTTGAGATTGCACCCTTCTTTCAATGTCGCCCTGGCTGACAACACACGCCCGACTTCGTGTGTGTTGCCGCGTATTCATTCCTTCATTACATACCTTCTTTTTTATTATCTAGCTCTGGCGACAACAACCCCGCTTCCGTCGTGTGTTGTCGCCTCTACTCATAATTTTCCAGCTGTCACTCCCGTCCGTACCTGTAACTTTTGTAGCTTCTGCTGGCTTATTGTGTTGAGTTGCACTAACTCTTGAATATCATGATTTTATTCCTACCCTAACTTTCAATGTTGCATTTTGTTGTCTATGACTTTCTCTATCCCTATATTTTGGCTTCACCGGAACAGAAAACAGGAAGCACGAAACAGGAACAGGAAACAGGAAAGGGAAATACCAAAAAAGGGGGTGAGGGCTCAGGCAGATAGACTACCGAGGTAAAGGGGTAGAGGCTCAGGCAGATAGACTGCCGAGGTAATCTTTCCGTTCTGACGTGTGACATTCTTCGAGCCACTGAGTCGAGGAGTCCAGTTGAGTCGAGCCGCTGCAAGCGAGAGTGACCGCTCTCATCCAAGTGCTCCTTCGATTCCGCGCTAGCTTTGGACTGCTGCTCCCAAGTGCAGCTTCATAGATAGACTTGGAGGAGTAGATTTTAAAGCAAGACCACAAGAGAGATACTGACTGGATTGATCTGGCCAGGTAATGACTTGTGTCTTGGCTCCTTTGTGGGACGGGCATAACTAACAGCTGACCTCGTTGTGCAACATCGGTGCTGAAACTCAAACGTAACTGTTGCGATCCCGCAGGCTTTTGTGCTTTTTCCTATAAGAAAGGAGCGGGCTGCTTGTTGACGAAATCTAAAAATCATTGTTCTAACTAGCTTTAAAAGTCGGCATTCAATTCGAATCCTCGCTCCATATCCTCATTCTCCCCGGTCGTGTCCTCTAGCAATCTATGCATGCACATGTGGAGGCTTGCATACGGACGCTTGTCCTGGAAAGCACCGCCGTGCGAAGAGGTTGCCTGCAATGGTGGTGATGCCTGTCCCTCGTTTGAGACGAAAGAGTTGATAGGGCCGTAATCGTTCATGAGGATCTTGGACCTCTCGATACTTTTGATCAAGTCCACAAAGGAACCACTTGCGATGTCCACATCCCAGAAAATCACTCAACCCTGGCCGTATATCCTGCCCTTGGTAATGATCACAACAGACATCATGATGTTGTTCATAGTGGTCCAATTCCATGACTTGGAAGCCTTCATTTTCATGCAAATATCGATCCCCATACTGGAATCCTTCTCCAACATCCGATTCATGTGGGATGGGTTGTAACCGCATGGGAGCAATAATGCCACCCCGGAGATCCATTTCTTCCTTGATTTGTGGCAAGGACGTGGCACGAGTGGTCAAAATGGAATCAGGTTCAGTCTGGATACAAAGAAGAGAAAAGCTTGGTGAGTTTCATTTGCAGTGGCAACACCTCTTTGCAGAGACTTGTTACTCACCAAATAGAGATACTTCCAATGTGATGGGTCTCTTGTCGTTCCAAACCAGTCGTTCAAGTGTTGTGTGTCCTCCTCTGTTTTGGTGGTTGCATCTGCTGCCAAAAATGCCTTGCGAGCACCTACCAAACAAGCTCGTGGCATGTTGCGTTTCATGATTTTGGTTTTGGCAGATGCCTTGTCAAAGGACACATAGGCCACTTCCAAATGTCCAGCACTATGAGGAGAAGAGTGTGGAATGTGCAAGTGTTGTTGCATATAGTGCAGAGCATCCATGGTGTAATTGTAATGGTTGGATTCTGATCCCACCACCACAACACGGCCCATTTCCGCACGGCGCAAGGATTCAATGGTCGCTGCTAGAGACACAATGGTCAAATTGTAGGCACGGGTGTGTTGTTCGTCCTTTTTTCGTTTGGGATTCCCAGGTGCCTTGTATGGTTGAAAGGCAATCGTGGCAATGGTTTCCGAAAAGACTGGTGGATCCGAGGTGGTGGGATAGTCAGTGGCACCATTCTCAATATACTGGGCCAATTTTCCAATCACCGAATTCCAGACAGGTGCTTCCCTGTAATCATAATCCAGTACCTTCCACCATTTAGACAAGTGCTCCACAGACCAATCAAAATAATCCAATGGCATGCGCAATTTGTGGCGGCGAGTATTCCATGCTTTGAAGGCGGCATCTTCACACATTTTGACAGGATCCAGATTCATGTCGAGGAAATCTTTCTTGGCCATTATCCAACTAGCACTGAAGGAGTCTTTTTGCGTGACTTGAGTTTGATTCAAAAAGTAAACTGTATGGGCATGAGGGTGGTCGCTGGAGGAGACTTCGGATTCTTCCAATTGTCGCACAACTGCGGCCTTTAGTTTTTGATCCTCTGGCGACAGTTTGGCGGGCTGGATTTGTTTGGGACCTGTCGTGACAACATCACTGTGTTGGTCTTCTTCTCCATGTTGCTGTCGTTGTTGCACTTGTGGTTTTATCGTAGCAGTAGATTGAGTTTTGGCTGGTGTAGTCAGAGCAGTAGTCGATTGTAGGTTTTTCAGGACGACCTCTTGTCGCTCTTGTTTCTTTTTTGTGTGTTTCTTTTTCTTTTTCGGCTTTTGTGCTGGCGCCACTTCGACTGAAACATCCTGCTCTTTTATCACTTCTCTCTGTTTCTGACTTTTTATCTGCTTCTCCAGTTGTTCTGTTTGTAGTTTTTGCAAATGCTGCAGGTGATGTTCTTGTGGAGGAGTCACCACGTTCATGGTGTCAATGGAAACCACCATCAAGCTTTGTGAGACTTCATAGGAGTGGTACATACGATTGTAGACAATGGATGTTGTCAGACCACAGAATAGACCGGTCATGATCAACCACACGTAGCGAAGCCCAGGGTTGCTGCCGTCTTTTCTCGAAAAACGTGTCATCGTCGATGAATTGATTGGATGCCTTCTTCTTGCTGTTGCTTTTATCTAGTACCGTAGGAAGGAATCTCCTCTTGCCTCTTGTATTGTGGACCTCTTGTCAGTTTTACTTCTAATCAGGTGGCACTACAAACAAAATGGAAGGGGCCTTCGATACAGCCATCACCACCAGCCAATGCAAAATGACAGACACTCGCCATCAAACGCGGTCAAGAACGTGGAACAGCGTCCAGAACGTACCGTACCACACAAGGGTGCACAATCCCATTTCTGAGTACTTATGTAATTGACACGAAATCTTTAAATACTTGATGTTAAATCTTTCCTTTAAGGGTTCATCTCCAATAAGTATTTATTTTGAAATCTCGACGTCATCTTGCGTCTGCTTTTTCGGGGTTCAAGTTGCAGGTTGCAGGTGCCGAAGAGGTGGCAAAAGGGGACATGAAAACAAGGCAACAAAGATGTCACGGCGATGGCCACCATGAGGATGACCGACGACACTACGAGCAACGGCCCCCAACACTGCGCATTAGGCGTCCCTGATAGTACCACCCAAAGTAGACTAGAGATGCAACATACAGACAATAATGACAACAAAAACCCGCACAGAAGCATAAGAAGAAGGAATATTCTGGGATGCAAGAGGAAGCGAGTGGACAACGGCGACGCCAGTACTTTAGAAACGAGCAGCAGGCAAACTGGAGGCTGCTTGGATAGCATACGACTGCTGGACGTCAAAACTCTTCTGACACTCTTGTGCCTTTGGCTGTCTCCCGTGCATCCATTATCCTGGGATGATCAGGTCTCAGCAAGCAGTAGTAGAGGGAGTGGTATTCGGCGGTCAAGATATAGAACTCCCGGAGAAATTCCTGTGGACTATCGGGATGCCACTGGTGGACCCCCCTTTTCCTCCAAGGATGCATTGTCTTCTTTATCCTCTCCCGCTCCAAGAGTGCTACAAGAGGAGCCACTGCAATCATCAGATCCAACTGGGAACAGCACAACCCCGCCGATTACTAACGGTACCACCCGCGAAGAGGCCCTTGCCCACCTTTTAACCCGCTCTGGTTACTACACACCTTTTGGAGAAGAACCTCTGTGCTGGGTAACCTACAACGCCACTGCATTTCCTCATCTTCTCAACTCCAAAGTCTTTACCGAACCAATGTTTTTCCCCAATCCACTGGTCAACGAATTTGCCTACGTTCCTGGAGAAGAGGTCCTGCTACCGACTTGCTTTGACCATTCCAGTCTCAGCATACAAAAACCAATAGAATCCATTCAGGGTGGACGACTGCGGACGGATCAGACCTACGAATACACGGTCAACTTGACACTGGACTTTGCTAGCATTTTACAAATGCAACGTGGCACTGTAGGGGATGCCGTGGTGACTTCCACTCCCAACACTAATGGATCCCAAGTGGCCGTACAAGTCATGCACTGTGTCTTGGGGAAGAGTGGCGTATGCGCACCCTTCTTGCATGAGCAAGCGTATGCCAAGGACTATCTAGAGACGGGGGTGAAACCAACCGCATCCGCACCGGGGTCTATTCACGGGGATACCCACATTCATTCCAATTTTGTTCTGCTGGACTTGGAACCCAATCAAACCGTACTGGATCGGTCACTGACAATCCCATTGCAGGTCAATGTGGAAGGAGATTACTTTGTCATTGCAGCAGTCCAATTCTACACGGGGGATGCTGCTTCCAACGTCGCCTACTATCGTTGGGATATGGCCAACGCCATGGCCAGCCAAAATAGGGTTGTGACATATCAAAAACCAGCAGTTATACAACGAGTTTCCAGGGAAGTTCGGATCATTTCCTATGTCATTATCGGTGGCGCGTCCCTCGTCATTGTGTTCCTCATTGTACAAGCCATCAAGTATCGACACGAACAAGTGCTGCAGCTTTCGCAGGGTGACTTCTTGATAGTGTTTCTACTGAGTGCCCTGACGGCGACAATCTGCACATTCATGATGGAGCCCAAGAACGATCTTTATTGCAATCTTGGAAATACGCTGGTCTTGCTGCCAGTGCACCTCATGTACGCCATCACCGCTGGTCGTCTCTGGAGAATCAATGCCGTGATCAGTCCTCTCCTGGTAGAACACATGCGCACAAAGAGCAGATGGACCAATCGGTTCGTAGGAGCGGTCGACGCCCTCTCTAGTTCCGTCACTCTGCATGGGGGGCATCGACCAACCAGAGAAGTGCGGCGGTCAATTCCCAAACGACAACTTGCACTTGTGGTGACCATGTTTGTGTCACCTCAAATCTTGCTGCAGATTGCTGAACTGGTCTTTCAACCGCAAAAGCTTGAAATTGAATACAACAGCGATGAGAGCATTGGCCGCTACACCTGCCGGACATCCAGCAACAACCTTGGCTCCACCATTTTGCTCTATGCGCTTCTGGCCTTGCTGATATTGATTGTCATTGTTCTTTTCGTGGCATATTCCAGTCGAAAGTTACCCTCGCTGTTCAATGAAACGCAGGTCATTTATGACTCTACGTTTATCTGCGTGGTACTGGTTGTCCTTGGGTCTGGGGTTATTGTGCTGACAGACACGGCGACTACGTCTCCGGATGTACAGTATGTTGTCGTAGTTGTCGTGACGCTTTCAATAACTTTGAACTCGACGTTGCGGATTATGATCCCCAAATTGAAAATGATATGGAAGGGAGAGCAAGTCATCGTTTCAAAATTGGTGAGCGACCATCACAGAAAACAACGGGAAAAGGACTTCAAAAAACAAGTCGGGGATAGAGACCTTTTGCGCAATGTGACGGGCATGGACGAAGACTATGACTACACCAAGATGTCATTTTACAATCGATCATTCGGGCCTAGTCAAATGTCACTGATGAACTCCACGAGTATGCCGTCGCTGAATTACATACCAGACCCGCCGGTGGTGGACTCTGTTTCGCCCACTGTAGTCTCGGAGTCGTTGCTTACTGCATCTACACGAAGCCGGCCAATGCACCTCTTTCCACAGGCTTCCACTGGAGATGTGACGGCAAAAGCTTCGAATATGGTAATGGCGTCAGAAGAGCTTGGAGCTGACGATCCAGAGCAGGGGAACAACAACGGGGAAGCGAAAGAAGCTAACAATGAACAAGACAGGGAAGCACCCGACGAGCCACTAAACTCCAACAAGAATTCGAAGGATACTGCTTCAACTGAAATGGACGAATCCTTGGATGTGCATGAGATTTTCAGACGTCAATCAGCTGAGAATGTAGATACCAGTAGTGCGAAGCGCGACGTCTCGCCAGTTGGTAAGAAATCATCAGATACCGCCAAAGAATCAAACGACGCTGCTGTCGAATCTGATGCAGAAACTGTTGGCAGCAGCAAGGTCGGTCGACGTCGACGGTGGTCACCTCTTTCAAAAGGCACCGAACATGCTGATTTGGACAAAACGCAAGGCAAGCGAAAGTCAATGTTTGGGCCTGGTGCAGCAACGTTTCGGCGATTCCCGTTGATCGGGAAGAGTGATTTGATGGACAAATCTGAGCCATCACAAACATCGAATGGGCCAGTGCGCAGGCGACAAAGCGCGATGTCTTTCCCAAATCGGCGAAAAAGCCCAGGAAAAAGAGTAGGGCTTGACAGCAGGTCAGCCCATAACGGTGATACCGGAGGCTCATCACGATTCCGTCCGAAGCCGTCGCTGGAGCGAATGAGAGTGGCTCCAGATGAAACTCCAGCTCGTCGACTAGTTTTGAGGATGATTGATCTTCAAGAGCAGCTGTCGTCGGTGACTTACAAGGTCATGTCAGGCTTGGCAGTCAGTGAGGACGACTGGGATTTGTTGACATCTTTAAACGAGAAGCTCTACACAACGTTTGAAAAAGACGTTGAATTCAGCTGGCGAGAACCACCAGAGCCAAAAGACCCAGTCACTCCACCCCCAAGTGATGCAGGGAGCAGGGGGCGAGTACGCAGCAGAAGCGCGGATAGACTGCCACCAAAACGCAGCAGAAGTGCGGATAAACTTCCGGCTCAAATAACTATTCAGCCTGGTCGGCGAAGTCCACCTGGATCCCCAAAACGCAACCAAAAAAGGAAGTTCGAATTGAAACGGGGCAGCGTGGCCAATCCATCGGAAGTCGCCGTGGCATTTCGCAACATCGTGGATGTACGCGACCGGCGCAAGTCAATAGTCAAGCACAAGAATTGCTTTGTGGGCAAAGAGGCGGTAGACAGTCTCGTTTTCTCTGGATTGGCATCATCCAGGGAAGAGGCTGTACAGATAGGGCGTGCCATGGTGAAGGACATGCACCTCTTCAAGACTGTGAATGACGATCTAGAGTTTGATGACGACGACAGATTGTACAGGTTTGTCGATCTCGACGACTACTGGAGTAGCAGTGAAGAGGAGGAAGATCCAGAGTCGGTCATTTTCCCATCAATCCTCGAAGAAGGACCCCACTTAGGTGACAAAGCACACCAATTCCGAGAAGCAGTGACGACCAAAGATTGCGTCTACCGCACTCAGTTCCACAAAGCCGTGTTTATCGGGGCCGAGGCCGTTGACAATTTAGTGTACACGGGCGTTGCCGCAACACGATGGGAAGCGGTTCAACTCGGGCGGAAACTGGCGAGGGAATACGGTCTCTTCTGCCACGTGACAGATGATCATGATTTTCAAGATGACTACCTTTTCTACAGATACAACAAGGATGCGGATGAATCGAAAACGAACTCGCACTTTTTTGAATTGAACTCGATTGCCGAAAATAGTGAAACTACCCATCAAGAAGACAGCCGCAATGAACTTGCCGACAAGGCTGACGCTTTTCGGATTTACGTTGACGTTCGAAACAGGAAATACCTCCTTCAAACATTGAAAGACGTGTTCGTGGGTTCGGAAGCAGTGGATTCGTTGGTGTTTGCTGGTGTCGCTTCCTCGCGGACTGAAGCGGTGGAGCTGGGCAGGACGCTAATGAAGGAGCTAAGACTCTTCGCTGCAGTCAGGGGCGATGACAAATTCAGCGACAAACGTCACTCATACTACCGATTCCACGATAGCCATCTCAAACGCCGCAACCCCGCACCGGCATCCAAAAACAAACCTATGGATGATTGGATGATTCAGGATCTGAGGAACAAAGCGGAGATCCTTCAACAACTTGTGGAAGTAAAGGATCGCAAGTACAGGTTTCGGAGGTATAAAAGTTGCTTTGTTGGAGCCGAAGCTGTGGATCAGATGGTCTCATCAGGTATGGCCAAAACTCGTGGCGAGGCAGTCCAACTAGGCCGAGCAATGGAGAGAGAGCTGGAATTGTTCAAGCATGTTTCAGTTGAAAAACAATTCAGCGACGACTACCTATTCTACCAATTCATTGACGCTGACCACAGCAATGGCAGCTTACAGTCTGATGGTGCTAGGGCAATGACAATCAGTCGAAGACCGAGTGAACACGGAAAGAAGCTATTTCAGCAGGCTGATAGGCTTCTTGACAGCAGTAGTAGCGACTCTGAGGACAGTTTTGCTCAAGTGCTAAACAGCAGCATTCGGAGCGGTGCGTCCAATGACGTTGTCAGCCTGTTGGGCTCTGAATTTGATGGTGGCAATGACTCCCTCTCCCGTGTTGGTGGGATTCTAGCAATGGTCCCTGAACTGGGTGAAAGCATAAGCGGCGATTTTGACATGGAAGCCCCAACGCTCCATGCTTCAGTGCGGCGAAAAACTGGCTAGCTGCTAATGCCGAGGAATATGGGGCGACAAAGATAAGGCTTCCGAGGGCTAAATAGAATTTTAGTCAGGCAATAGTAATGGTCTTCTTGACCTTGGTGGTTTAGTGTTGACGCAATCATTTGTAGCAGGAAAGTTGGGGGCATGAATGATGCTCGTCTTGGGAACATGAACTTCGCGTGGAATAGCGATGGCGTTGTGTACGAGTTGGTACCGGTACCACTGGCAGGCATGACAGCAACAGACCCTTGATATGATCAGAAGAAGTGGTGAGGAACATTCTGCAAGAACCAGAATGCCAAAGAACACCAATCTGGAAGATCCCACAGGCTTGCTAACACCTCGATGCATTCTTCCCGTGATTGGTTGGCAAAGGCCGGCGAAATGATATTTTTCGTCAACTTGTTTCGTTGGGAGATTCCATTCAATTGCTTTTCAACCGAAGGAGCTATCAAGGAAGGGAAAGCCCGGCGGGGAAATCCAGAAACCAATCGCATGTTCTCCAAGTTCTAGTTCTTTCGCGTTGCAGTTGCGATCGAAATCTGCTGCGAGGCCGGCACTTCGTACAAAGAATGTATTTCCAACTCTTTCAATACTCTTCATTCTTTCCACACCCTGCACTAAGGAATCACAAATGCGTAGAAGGCTCTTCGGTCCGACACCCGCCCAAAAAACCGTCTTCAAGTTCGTGTCGCCAGAAAGTGCCACAAAGACTTCCGATTCAAGCTCGGGGATTGTCACATTGATGAGCTCCAATGCGTGCAAATGGAGTCTGCGATCTCCGATCAAGGCGACGAGACACTCAACATCAGCCCTCGCAAGAGTGCATTTTAGTAGCGACAATTTTGTGAGAGACTGCAAGGCTGATGCACTCGAAATGGCAGGAGCGAAGCTTGCAAGCGTTGTGGCCGATACCGACAGAAAAAGACCCGAGACAGAACTTGTTTGAATTCCATGCTGGGCGTCAGCAGCCAATGCGCCCACAGAACCTGCGCAATCGAGTACAATGGTCTCGAGGCATTGGCATGCAAAAAGATCCCGTATGTCTTCACCTCGTATCCTTCCACTCCTCCAAGGCATACACACTTCAACCGCAAACACTTCGATTTCAAGTGACTGGTAAGCTTCTGAATTGCTCTTCGATCAAAAGAGCACCCACCGAAGACAACCGATTCAGTTGTCCTGCTTTCCACGAGTGCAGAGAGGAGGCAGTCAATCGCGTCGGAATGTTGGAAGGCGACGCCGCAAAGACACAGTTTCTCGACCGAACTATGCGGAGATTTCAAGAACGCGGGAATCGCTGGGCTCCACTGGTCGATGCCGATGTTTTTGATGGTCGACGAGCCCTCATATTGAGAGAGCTTTTCCATTATAAACGTTAGATCGTTCGACGACGACGAACTGCCAAGGAGGTCGGGCATCAACAAGGTTTCAATGCAATGGATTGAAGGGAGGGCGTCGACGAATGCCTCCGACAAGCTGGAAGTGAAAACCTTCGGTGAGAGTAGTGGAAAACTTGACTCGTCCAGACGAGAAAACCTCCTCGAACCCTTTTCCAAGTGAAAGCACTTTCACGGCGCTGTTCTTCTCGGCAGCTTTCAGAATCAACAGCGCGATTTCAAAGGCATTGCCTCGTCGTTCCTTCTTTTCCAACTCAAGACTTCGCAAAGAAGCATTGTGCGTTACGAAGTGTAGAATCCCTTCCATGCAATCGAGCTGGATGGTTGTGGAGCAAAATCGTAGTTGGAAGTGCTGGATCGTCGTTTTGCGTCGCAATGCGGCGCTAGCAAAATTGAGCGACTTCTCCGAAGAGCACATGTTGAAATCAAGAATGAGCGACTTGAAGCGAACTCGTCGTTGTGCTGTACTCCATCATTCAGCTTTGTCGCAAGCTGGACATCGATCTTGTGACCATCGTCGTCGCCGTCGCGGTCAGCCATCGTTCTTGTACCGTACCTGGTACTTTCTTCTCTCTGAGAGTGTCGGTCAATGTGCCCATGACCGCTGGAGGACGGTGAATTCTGGGTTGTGTTTCGGGTGTTTCTTAAATACAAGGTGTTCAAACAATTATCGTAAGCCCTTGTAGTAAGAAGTTTTAAAAACAACACTGCGTTTGTCGTGGCAGCTCTTTGGAGCAATCCTACATATATAAGGGGGTTTAGAGTAGGGAAATTATCTACGGAAGCCAGCCGGGGCCAGGCTTAAGCAAAGAACAGTCGAAATTCAGGACTAGGTTCTGTGGGATCAGGGGCAAGAAATGGAGGACCATTACGGGGGGCAAAGGGTTTGGCTTTGCGGGACCCACGGAGACATAAATGGGTAGCTTTCACACGGGTCTGACTGGTTACAGATTTGCATCCCTCACGAGAGCCATGCAGAGCATCACATGTATGCAGCCATGTTCTTCTTTAGTAAAGGTACAGCATCTAGCTATTTATAGCTAATTTGAAACTCGAGTATTGAATTCACCAACATACATTGAAAGCAAGTCAAAACAGAAAGAACACTCATCAACGACGAAAGACAAAGGTGGAACGTCGCCGGTCGTGTCGGAGCCCAGCATCATCGCCCTTGCGGACCCGTATAATTTCTTTTCGTAGAATGTTTTCAATCTGTTTCATTTCCATTCGTTCACTGGGTTCCTTCGCCCACCCACGCCTCATGCACAGTTCAATAGGTTTGGGCCAACCAAGTCGTGGAATTTCAGGGCGCTTGTGGGGTCCGTTGTGGACTTCTTCCCAGAACAATCTCAAGTCTGATTCATACTCTTTGAATGGCATTTCCAAGGCCACGATTTGCCATAGGAGTACGGCAAATGAGAAGACATCAACTTTGTGATTGTACGGATCGCTCTTGGCCACCTCTGGAGCCATCCAGGGCAAAGAACCCGTCATGCCGGTGAGGTTGAAGGTCAGATCTCTCTTGGAATTTTGTGGCGGTAGTTCTTTGGCAGTACCAAAGTCAAACAGCTTGATATCACCTCGCTTGGTTTCGAGAGTAGTGAATTGTAGTATTTGTGCACCAAATTGTAGAGGGTGAGCCGAAATAGAAAGACCAGGCAGGGGGAGCAGTCAAGAAACATTTTCATTGCAAAGCAAACTCACCACATCAAAGGCACAGTTCTCCGGCTTGGTGTCACGGTAGATAATATTCCTCTCGTGAAGGTATGCGATGGCCGAAGCCAGGTCAAAGCAAGCCACCAGTCTTTCTTCCAGCAATTTCTTCTTTTTCTCTAGATTCGAAGGACTTGATTCAATGGTTGTCGGGTTCATTTCCACAGTGTCGTCCTGTTCCTCTTTTTCTTCGTCATCATCAAACTCTTGACTGCTTTTCCGTCCAAAAATACACCCCAACTTGGAGGCTCGACTGGAAGTGCTCCTGGTGCTGCCCGAGGATTGTCGTTTGGAGGGTGGATTCTTTTTGGGCATTGGTGGTGGTTTGGGGAATACTTCGGCCCATGCTTTGAGGCGTTTGTCAAGGGTATCATAGAGTCTGTCCATGACAATAAAGTATTCTGGATGATACCGACCTTGTTGACTGACTCCTCTTAGTTTGACAATATTGGGATGTTCAATGGCGGATAGAATGTGTGTCTCCACGGCCATGTCTGCCAGCGCCTTGACCATTAAATTGACATCTGCCTTGTCCACTAGGGATTTTTTGAGTATCTTGATGGCATAACGAGCATCACTATCATTTCGAATGCAATGATCGGCAATGAATTTCCGACCTTGGAAATCGGGATCTTCTTCTTCCTCTTTCCTTTCCACCTCAACACCTGTTGTTTCTACCTCGACACTTGTTTCTGGGGGACGATGACTGTCTTCATGGGCCGAAATATCAAAGGCCAGAACTTCGGATACCACACCAAATCCACCCTCACCCAGGCGTTTGCCCAGAGTCAATTCCGAAAAGGCAAATCGGGGAAAGTCACCGGATGTATCGCTAATGGTGCTCTCAGCAAATGTCTTCTTGTAGGCGCCCAGAGCTTGTTCCACTATTTTTCCGCTTGGATCAGACGACATGATGGTCCGTGGGAAACTTCTTCTGGCTGGATGGATTTGGGTAGCAAGCTGTTGTGTTGGACCGGATGATAAGAAAGCTCCAGAGCTACCCTATCACCAACAACCACTGGTGCAGTACCCTTTTACCAGCATACAGCCAACCTTGGAATAGCTTTGGTACCACTACGTGTCGCTGGTATCAGGCACACCAATGATGTAATGATGTGTCAGGGACGCCAATGTGCTCGTCGCTGCTTCTGTTTGGCGTAATCCTTAAGAATGGTAGATTAGGTAAAACTAGAGCGGAAAGTAACTATTGATTACTGTTTCAAAATGGAAAATGTCTTACTAGTATCGCATCTACCCGAAACCGTAGAATCTTCTCATTCGCCAAATTTGATTCTTCGATTGATCTTCGAATGATCGATTGCAATTCGACAATGCACATTCCTCGAGCGCGCTGCCGTCATTTATTTGGCTTCTTCCCAAAACCATTATTTTACAAGTCGTGCTTCTTCCGGCTTTCGTCGGAATGGCCAGAAGGTGGCATTGGCGAAAGGCTTTTGAGTGATATTTATTTGCTCTCAGAAACGTAATCTCCTTTTACTTAACAGTTACTCTTTGCTAGAATCCTGAGATTATGAAGGTATGACTGAGGCCTTCGTCTTCGTTTTCTTCTTATTGTCCGTCACCACCTAAGGTCATCTTTTGTGAACACGTCATTGCAAGATTAAAAAAGAAAGAAGCCTGTTGGAGTTCCTCCCGCCTGTGCATACAATGTCATGTACCGGTACCGCCCCACCCTCAACGCTGGATCTTCTTCAATACCGGTACATGGGCCGACGGTAGGGAGGAAACGCTGTTTTTGAGGGAGGCTCATATCGCAGTTAGTTGATGAACCCATCCTCATCATAGCTCCCTCTAACCCATAGTAACTCTCCCATACACCAATAATCCAAGCACAGCGAAGAACATGAAGTATAGTCTACTTTCATCATCATCCTCGCTCAAGGTCGAGAGTCCAACATCCATGTGCAAGGTCAAGCGTCGATCAAGCAAGTCCGATCAAAACAAGTATGATTCCATCTTTAAATGGGAGGACTATGCGGGCTTGATGGTGCAGCAAGATTTGGATGCTAAAGATTCCAAGCATTCGACTATTGAAGATGGCAGTGGTATCTACGATTGGGAAAAGCACAGGCGTAGACATAGTGCCAACGACAGTGCAAAGGAGCAGGGAAAAGAACGGAGAAGGAGGTCGAGAAGAAGCACCAAATCATCTGGTCTGCCTCCAACTTCAAACTCAAGCGATAGTGGTACTACGACAGCAGACTCTCGTGGCAAGACAGTGCGCCGTTGCAGCACTCGTGGACGTGTCGAAGCGAACTTGCGACACACCCAATCAATGGACGAAAGCAGCAAGTCCAGCACAAGTGCTGGTAGCTCAAAAACTCTCAGAAGAGTGAAAAGCACAGATAGTGCAACAGTCAAGAGAGCGGATGGCGATGCCCGCAGTCGCCGTCAGGACAGTACTAAGGAGGGCAATACAGATGACAACAAAGCTTCCCGTCCCCGTCGTCGAAGCAGATCCCTCGGTTCAAGCATTCAGGGTCGAGGGAGCAATGACACTCGCCGAACGCGACGATCTCGTCGTTCTTCACAAGATAGTTGTTGCTCTTTGGATGAAGCCAAATCGTATGGCGACAAAGCTTCCAGTCCCCGCCGTCGAAGCAGTTCCGTTGGTTCCAGCATTCTCCGGACAGAGAGTAACAACGCCCCCCAAAGCCGACGATCTCGCCATTCTTCTCAAGATAGTTGTTGCTCTTCGGATGAAGCCAAAAGAGGCAGCAACAAAGCTTCCAGTTCCCACCGTCGTAGCCGCTCCCTTGGTTGCAGCATTCACAGCAGAGGAAGTAGCAGCATTCACAGTAGAGGTAGTAGCAGCGCTCCCCGAACCCGACGATCTCGTCGTTCTTCACAAGATGTTCCTTCAGAGCACATTACCAATGAAGCCAAAACAGATGACGAACAACTGTCCAATTCCCGTCGTCGAAGCAGATCCCTTGGTTGCAGTATTCTCCGAAGAGGGAGTAACAACGCCCCCCAAAGCCGACGATCTCGTTCCTCAAAACGTATTTCTTCATCAGAGGACACTACCAAAGAAGCCAGAACAGACGACAGCAGAGCTTCCCGACCCCAACGACGTAGTAGATCCCTCGGTTGTAGCATTCAGGGTCGAGGGAGCAATGACACTCCCCGAACCCGAAGATGTCGCCGTTCTTCACAAGACAATTCTTCTTCGGATGAAGCCAAAACAGGCAGGGGCAAACCTTCCAGTCCCCGTCGTCGAAGCAGATCCCTTGGTTCAAGCATTCTTGGTAAAGATAGTACCAATGCTCCCCGAAGCCGACGATCAGGTCGGTCTTCACAAGATAGTTCTTCTTCGGATGAAGCCAAATCGGACAGTGGGAAAGCTTCCCGTCCCATCCGTCGAAGTAGATCCCTCGGTTGCAGCATTCACAGCAGAGGGAGCAGCAAAGCTCCCCGAACCCGACGTTCTCATCATTCTTCAAATGATAGTTCTTCATCAGTTGGCTCCAGCATTCTCAGCACAGAGAGTAGCAATGCTCCCCGAACCCGACGATCACGTCGGCCTTTACAAGATACTTCTTCATCGGATGAAGCCAAAAAAGACAGCAACAAAGCTTCCAGCCCCCGGCGTCGAAGCAGATCCGTTGGTTCAAGCATTCTCAGGACAGAGAGTAACAACACCCCCCGAAGCCGACGATCAGGTCGTTCTTCGCACGGTGCCCCTGACGACAAGGGGGAGCAAGCAAGTGTGAATGAACAGATCTTGAGCTTGACATCACTCTTCTCAGAACAAGAAGGCAAAGCAGAGGGCAACATTGAGAAACCAATAGATGCAGCTGCAACTAATCTTCATGAAGACGTGTTGGCATCCATGGAGCAGCGATCCAATTTGTCAAGGACATTCCTGGCCAATCAAAGGTCCAGCTCGTGGCGGTCCTTGTTTGATGACAAGCAACCCGATATCTGCAGTGATGACCCATTGGAGACCAAAGATTCTTCTTCATGTTGGTCCAAAAGAGGCTCGATCGAAATCTTAGACTTTGGGCCCTCCATACACGATATCTTAGACTCTGGGCCCTCCTTACATGAAAGCTATCACGGTTCAGGCAGCTCCTTTGTGGTGCCCAGGGTCAAGACCACCACCGTTACACGCGGCAAGACGCTACACAGCTCCTTCCACGGTTTCGACCGAGCATTCAATGCATTTCATGATGAATGCAAGGACTCCAAGCAAACTGTAGCGGCAAAGGCAGAAGATCAGGCTGCTGGTCCAGAGGACAGTACGGAAGCACCAGAGGATGCAGGTCTACACGATGATGACAAGTTGGCTTCCTTCGAGCGCCGATCCAAACGCCGATCCAAACCGACGAGGAGTTTTGACAATGGACTGTCAAAATCGTTCCGGTCCTTGTTTCATGACCAAGACCCTGAGACTGGCCGTGACGACCTGGTCAAACGATTTCACGAATCTTGTGCGTCTTTACCGTCTTCGTCTTTGGATTCACAATCACAACAGTCGAAACGATTCTCGACCAGTGTCTTTGACTCTGAGTCTTCCTTGCATGAAAGCTCCCACAATTCTGGCATCTCCCACAATTCTGGCAGCTCCGTTGTTGTGGCTCCCATGGTCAAACCAAATACGCGCAGCAGTCTTCCGAGCAAGACATTGCACAGCTATTTGTACGGCTCAATTGGAGCATTCAATGAGTCCAAGGGCTTGGCCGAACTCGACGAGTTTGCTTGCCTCGGATCTAGCTAGCCAGCCAGCCAGCTAATTCTTAGATTACATTACCTATCCTTTGAAAAGAACCGGACGAGCCACTTCGAGTCGTCTCGTTTCGGCATCGAATGTCAAATAGCTTTGCTTTACTCATTCAATTTCACCTCGGATTGTGTCCATTTTATGGTACATCACCGCCATACCTTGTAACCAAGACAAAGTGCTCGGAGTCTTGATCGATTAGCTGCAGGTTATTACCGGTACGATCCCCGACGACACATTATTGCGAATGGTAATATGATCCACTGAGCACCGACTACTGTACGTACCGTACGGTTTCGAACCACCGAGGTGCGGAGAGAGTGATCACATTCGTGCACGGTACCGGTAGCTACAATATGTTCGACTAAGATTGGTCAGTTCTTTTCCTCTGATTTTTTCTAAAGTTTTTCTGATAATATAAAGTAGTCTATGCATTCTTCTGTTTTGATTGTTTGTGGCTGCGAAACTCTCGTTTATTTTGTTTGCATTGTTATCCCAATGTTCACATGTGCACCTTGGCTGCTTTGTTGTGATGGTTGCACAAACATGTTCAGTCTGTTTTGGGATAACACCAAACAGCCTTTGGAGATCTTCTGCAGCTACAGAGGAGCCATTCGGTGGGGTTGGGATGACTTTTATTGTGCATTCAAAATGTTTGCTGAAAGAATGCGATAACTTCCCACAGCCACAACACTGCATGGCACTGCATGGCACTAGCAAAGGAAAGTTTGCCAGAAGGCTCTTCGGCAGCACTCAACTGCCTGGGAAGGAACAGTGTGGAACATCTCTGCTGACAGATCCTGTTCTTTTCGGTGATGTTGGGGAATGCCGGGACTATGTATTTAAGGGGGGGGGGTGGAGCATGCATAGACAGGCTATGCTGGCAGCATAAGTACAAGCTGCCGGTGCTCT